GTAAATTTCTCCTTTTTTAAATGATTTGGTGCTTTTTAAGTGTATTTATTTATTTATTGGTCCATTTCTATATTTCTTTTATTTCTAATTATGTCAGCTTCGGTCCTCCATATCAACCTTTTATTTYGACAGCTTGTTTTTGTGTTGCAAGACCAAGAGGTAGAGAAAATCTAACTAAGAAAATGTTTGATGACACATTTGCACATTTGTTGACTTTAAACATCCAGGTTTTTCCAAGATGYTTTGGATTGTAGCTTAATGTTCACCTTTACCAAGCCTTTAAAAAAATAATAATAAAAGACTGGTTTGTATATTTACCTCAACACCATCATATTCCTCCTCTAGCACCGTGCAGTACTGTGGCAGTCCCAGTTGGCTCAGCCAGCGGGAAATGGACTGGTGCTTCATGACGACACATAGAACCATAAAGGAGATGCACCCGAGATTCAACGACCAGAGTCTCCTCCTTCAGATGGARCCTGAAACACATAAATGATCAGGTCTTAAAGACAATATCGATGCGCACTTTGTTTGAAAGAAAATCACTGACTTGAAAATAAAGTCGCCATCCTTTATGGGCAAACAGCAGSCAGTTTCAAGCAGTGCAGAAAGAAAATCTTTTACACAGTGAATTATTGATAATATGTCACAGGATGAATGATTTAGGATGTAATGTCTAAAAATAAAAATGTGTCCATGCCAAAAGCATCTTAAGCCCTTGTTGCTTTCATGCTGCAGCCAAGCTGACACCAGGACGAAGGCATCTGACTTATTTTGGCTCATCCCTATAAAGCATCCCTGAAATGCTTTATAGGGATTATGGGGTCCTAAAGGGACCTCGGTCTGATGAAGGTTCCTGACCCACCAGATAACTGCAGGAGAAACGTGTGACTTAACTATCACTGGTTTGAGTCTAAAAATATTCTTCATAAGTCAAAAAATAAAGATACAGAAAGCTTCAGCAATCATCTTTTTTCTTCTGTTTATGTTTTGAAACATTATAGGAAAAATGTGCTGTTTGCTAGCCTGGCCCTTGCCTTCCTACACAGTTCCATTCTGTTCGGGTTTTCCTTCTCTGCTCTGTCTGGGATTTCTCCCATACACAAGGATTTCTCTGGTAGAATTTCAACTCGGCCAATCAGTGAACGGGAGGAGGAGTTGTGAACGATGACGTCAATTTTCTGCACCGTTTCAGTCTGCCTGTAGTTTAGCAATGGCGGCAGAGGAAGTGAATGAAGCCAGTTCATGTTGACAAGGCTTCTAAATTAAATTAAATTGGTCTCGTAAAGCCTGCAGCATCATTTACAGCCGCCTCGTTCAGCTCGGTACTTCTCTCTTCCCAGTAGGGAATGGTTGTTTACAGCACACACAATTTCCGGTTAGCCTCTTAGCCTAGCTTCCTTCACAGTCGAGCTGGCACACTGCATACGTCACGGCCAAACGTTAGCGATTGGGTAAATCAGATCCAATGGTTTTAAACTTCATCAGAGTCCACACCTCTGGCAAGCAATCATTTCTCAATGCCGAGAGTCCAAAGCCAGACCCCCTATGTACGAAGCAAAACGTACAAGGGAGCTGGTTTTTCTGGCTAGCTATTTGCCAACATTTGTACTTTTTATTTGATTTCTGAAAATCAATTCGCTTGTTGTTTTTTGCAGACCCACAGTGGGGTCCTGACCCAAACTTTGAGAACCACTGTTGGACCAGACTGGTATTAAAAGCTTTTACTCCAGTAAATGCTTTTTGCTGCTCACTTTACCTGGCTGAGTTTTATGCTGTAGCTTAAATCACCTGTTAATCTAAATACCATCCATCCATCCATTTTCTTCCACCTATCCGGGGTCGGGTCTCGGGGGCAGCAGCTTCAGAAGGGAGGCCCAGAC